ATGACATAGGAATTGCCAAACGTAGCCAAAACGACAGTATAGCAGGTTTAATGGGTCACCCTTAAATCATCATTTTCTAAACACTGGGAACAACTTTACCATTGAAGCAAGTTTTCATTTAATGTTGCATTAGAAAGATAAAGCCCATTTAAAACTAACTTAACTATAAAATTAATTAAATTATACTTTTTAAATTGTTCCGAACTCACATATGTTCCATGTCTTTAGGAAACAGTGATTTAAGTGTGATTTATTGATTCAAATAAAATTATTTTTTAAAAATCACAAGAATAATAGTATTTTTTTCTAAAAAAAAAAAGGTGTCAAAATGGTTGGATCCTCTGTCTCTAGTAGTAGTAATAATAATAATAATAATAATTAATAACTGCTTACACTTATATAGCGCTTTTCTGGAGACTCCACTCAAAGAGCTTTACAGGTAATGGGGACTCCCCTCCACCACCACCAATGTGCAGCATCCACCTGGATGATGCGACGGCAGCCATAGTGCGCCAGAACGCTCACCACACATCAGCTATCAGTGGGGAGGAGAGCAGAGTAATGAAGCCAATTCATAGAGGGTGATTATTAGATTTCAATTCAATTCAATTCAACTTTATTGACATTAAACTTACACAGGTGCATATTATAATGAAAAGTGTTTCTCATTAGTCACTCAGGTGCATTATATAAATAGGTCAGAAGATAAGACAATAGTAACACAATAGCAAAAACAGTAACATCTAATAACATAAATAACATGTAATCAAGTAATCAAAACTGTGCAAAATTCCGCAAACAGAGAAAATATAACAGGGCAAAAACAGTGCAAGGTAATTCTTGGAACAGTGCAAAAATAGTATGGTTAAAAAAAGTATGGTTAATTAATAAATATTAAATATTATTATGACCGGTACAGTTTTACTGGGCTATTGAGGGGACAGTACAATTTCGGCTTACATGTGTGTGTAGTGGTGTAGGAGTAAAGTCATTGTGGGTACAGGAAGACGTTAGGAGAGATCATAATATGGTGGGAGGGGGTGGGGGCATTACCAACTTGACAACTCTGGGGAAGAAGCTATTTTGGAGTGTAGCTGTGTGCGACCGGAGTGACCGGAACCTTCTGCCAGATGGTAGGGGAACAAACAAGTTATGACTGGGGTGAGTGGGGTCAGACATAGTTTTTTCAGACTCCTGGTGTTGTATATTTCCTGGATGGATGGTAAGGCACTGCCGATGATGTGTTGGGCAGTTTTGACCACCTGCTGTAGTGCCTTACGGTCGGATGCAGTGCAGTTGCCGTACCAGACTGTGATGCAGCTGGTCAGTATGCTCTCCACCGTACATCTGTAGACGTTGGTGAGGATCTGTGGATGTAGGTGTATTTTCTTCAGCCTTCTCAGGAAGTATAGCCGCTGTTGTACCTTCTTGATGAGACTGGAGGTGTTCAGTGTCCATGTAAGGTCCTTAGAGATGTGAACACCTAGGAATTTGAAGTTATTCACCATCTCCACCATCACCATCTATTAGGAGGCCATGATTGGTAAGTGCCAATGGGAAATTTGGCCAGGACACTGGGGTTACACCCCTACCCTTTTCGAGAAACACCCTGGGATTTTTAATGACCACAGAGAGTCAGGACCTTGGTTTTATGTCTCCTCCGAAGGACGGCTCCTGTTTACAGCATAGTGTCCCCATTGCTATACTGGGGCATTAGGACCCACATACTGTAGACCGCAGGGTGAACGTCCCCTGCTGGCCCCACTAACACCTCTTCCAGCAGCAACCTTAGTTTTTCCCAGCAGGTCTCCCATCATGGTACTGACCAGGCTCACACCTGCTTACCTTCAGTGGGTTGCCAGTTGTGAGTTGCAGGGTGATGTGGCTGCTGGCTATATTATAGTAATTGGTGCAGCCTCCTCTGGCATGGATATCAGCACAAAACCTTTCCCTATAATGTTTGATAGGGTTGGAAAACACATTGGTAGGGATCTTGAACCATTCCTCTACGCAGAAATTTTCCAGAACCTTGATCTAAGTCTACACTTATGGACTCTTCAATTCAGACTACAGGTTTTCAATCTGGTTTAAGTCCAGAGACCAGGATGACCATTGTAAAGCAGATTTTGTTTTCAGTCAACGTTTCTCTATTGACTTTGCTATGTGTTTAGGATCTTTGTCATGGTGGAAGGTTCACCTGCAACCAACTCTCATCTTTCTGGCAGAGGCAACCAGGTTTTTGGCCAGAATATCCCGATATTTAGTACCATTTCATGGTACCAGTTCATGGTACCATTGATCTTAACAACAGCTCCAGGGGCAGTGGTAGCAAACCAGCCCCACAATATCAATTATCCACCACCATATTTCACAGTGGGTATGAGGTTCAGTTCTTAAGCATCCCTCTCCTGACACCATGCGTGCTGATGGTATGAATGGCCAAAGAGTTCAATTTTCATCTCAACTGACCATAGCACCTGGTTCCAATTAAAGTCCCAATGGCATTTGGCAAACTCCAGCTGTTTAAATTTGTTTCTTGTTGTCAGTAAGAGCTTTCTTCGGGGAACCCTTCCGTAAATCCTTTTGCAATCTTCCTCACTGTATGTGGGGACAAGATACACTTGCATCCTTTTGTTGGTGGGTTAACCACTTTTTTAGTGGTTTTGAACTTCTTGCCCTAATAGTGCTTAGTGGTATATTAAACTTTTTATGTACTTTTTTTAATCCATTACCCGATCTGTGAAGATCAACAGCTCTGTCTCTTTTGATTTGTCAGTTCCTTGCCTTTCCCCATAGTTATGGATGACAAAAACTTTTCTCATGTGTGCCACAATTCCTCTTTTTTATACTCTGATGAAACAGGAAGTCCAAAATAACATTCCTTACAACTACGTTGTATTTAAATAAGCTGTATTTCATTGCAGATTTAATTTTCTTTAATATAATTACTCATTTATAAACATTCATTTTTAAATAGTTGTATTAGAATAAAAGTAGTTTTATTCTGTAGTTTTCCCATTTGGGGGCATACAATATTGATAATTATCTGTGCTGTTTATTTTATGTCTTTTTTTGTTCATCTTTATCAAGGGTGCCAATAATTCTCGAGCTCACTGTAGACCATTTGGTGAAGAATTGTGCCAGTAATGTAAAGGGTGCCAAGTTTTGATTCTCATGAGCACCTGCTAAGCATTTTGACTCATGGACAAATCTTTTATTTTGGAGACCTTTAAGATCAACTGTGGTTGGTAATTTATACATAGATTTCCATTTCCAAGCAGATGTACTGTATGAACATATATAAAATCTAAATTTGCACGACAGATATGAGGACTGAGGATGTGAATTAAAGGTGGCAAACTAAAGTGAATGCAATTGCATGTTAGGGATGAGCTGGAGTTAAAATAATTGCCAGAGTAGGATTAGCCTGCAACTGGCCCAGGATTAAGTGCAGTTGGTGTTTAATGCTCACTTACTGTATGTAGTCACTAGCTTTAGTGCAAATCCTAAAACTTTATTTACTTTAACTTTAATCTTAAAACTATTCCTGTCAAATACCCCTAAACCTATTGCAATCATAGGTTTATCAATACGCAGAACCTCAGCCACAGCCCAGCACCACGGGTTTGATGTTTGACCCTAAAACTGTGATAATTAAGCCATTTAAACATTACTCTAATGGTAATGGAAGTTAATTCTAATGGAAAGTGTTATGTTAACCATTATCTAGCTCTTATCCTAGACTTAACATAGAACAAACTGACAAAAAGTCATTATAGCAAAGCATTACAGTAAAACTAAATACTAAAAACTGAATCATTAGCTTGATTTTGAAATGTAGTAAAATTAGGAGTCTATGAATGTTTATACTATGTTTAAATTTTGGATGAATTAGGAATAGAGTTCATATTTATTTGACTCTTTTATTAATAGCATGGACAAGATGGACAAGCATTATAGTAACTTATGAATTAGGGTGAAACTAACTGTAGCTCTTATTAGTAGGTAATTTAGTAAATTGGTAATGCCAATGTAGGACGAGTTATCATTCAGTTGTGCTGACCAGCTTTAAATCAGACCAGAATTACCAAAAGCATACTTTGAACAGTTACTTAATACTTTACCATATAGTATACAATCCATCACACTGGACTAACAACAGCTAGAACCCTGGGCTTAGCCCTCCTTAAAAACTGGAAACTATTCCCAGGCTCAGTACTTAAAAAAAGTTTTAACAGAAATTATGAAACATTTACTTCAAATTGTACTCCAACTTAACTCCTTATCTTTATGAATGCCATATCATTCTTAAATGTAACTCCAGTGCTGACTAAAACATTACTTTAAAACAAACCAAATGTAAACATAAGACCAGCCATGTCATTATATATCGTTATAGACAGATAAATCTAATTTCTATCCCAAACCAACATGAAGAATAAAGGTTAACTCTTATGAAATATGAAGGCAAATACTGTATGTGCAGTAACTGTAATGATCAGTTTAATTTAGGTTAAGAAGTATTTACAGTTAAATTGAAATTAGAGTTTAGATTGAAGGGTAAAAACCAAGTAAAGGAGCAAAACAGGTTTGTTGATGAGATAAGAGGTTACCCTAGTGTCACCAGTCTGTTGCTTTAATGACGGATATTGTTTAACTGTTTAAACTGAGATAGGTAGGTTCTTATAATATTCATTGATAGTTACTGGACTTCTGTACATTTAGTGTTCAGACTACACTTAGGAGTTGTGTTATGTTAAACATTGGTTATGTCAGAGTTTAGCATATAAATTTGAGCATTCATCTCAGTATATGAACTTTGGAAGAAGTGCTATATGTTCATTTTAATCAAAAGATTAATAACCTCAGACTTCTTAACATTGTTATATTTGATCTGGGTTTGTCAACACAATTTGCATGCTATTTTTAGGTTGTTTATTCAAGTATGTGTAGTACAGTATATGGACTGTTTTCCATGCTTTTCTTTATCCTTTAATGAGGTTCAACACAACAAAGATGGGAGCACCACACTGAAGCTGGCAGATTTTGGACTTGCAGTGGTGGTAACTGAACCAATCTTCACTGTCTGTGGAACACCCACATATGTGGCCCCAGAAATACTCTCTGAAAAAGGTAGCCTACAAAAGTTCCAGCAAAGCTATCTGTGCTGTGTAGTGAAGTAGCAACATAAGGCAATCATAAATTCATCAATGTGATCGTGATACCCAGTGTGACATTACTGAACTAGCATTGTGTAGTGAAAGCTAGTGAGAATAAAGAATTATGTCTCTAGTATTGCTAGGTAACTAGGCCAAACATTCTTGTTCTTTCTGTAAAGAGCAATATAATGGCAAAGCTTTGTTTGTTCTCTGTGAATAAATGTGATTGGAACTCCAGATGTAACTAAAAACACATCTGAAATGCACAATGACAGTGAAAAAACCATTTAACTCTGTGGAACAAATTGCAAAATCCTGGCACAAAGTTAAAGTTAAGCCTTGTAAATGACAAGTATATTGTAGTGTATTTCTTCACAAAGTGTTGATGACTTCAAATATTCTGCCAGCAGGCTCCCAGAAGGAATAAAGAAGACTTTGACTGTGCCAATGCACTTTGTGTAGCCTTTCACAGAGTTTACAACTGACTTAAAACTATTTAGATGTCTCAAGGCATTTGAAAATGGTGATCTTTTCAAGAAGTTAAAGAATAATGCACTACCAAGTTAACCTTCCCAAAACAAAGGAATAACTGGTTAGTCAGCTGTAGAAGAAAGTCAAACAACATTAAATAATACTGAAGATTTACATTCATGGTTGTATGTAAAAAACTGTTTTACTGTATATGTCAGATGTCTAATGTAGTGGTGCATAATAACTTCCAAGTTTCTAACCACATAAGGAACTAGACTGCTGTTGACTCAGCTAAGAAATTATGATTATTATGAAGAACTGCTTGATCCTTAGTTCAGATTAGGTTCTATGTAAATAAACACAGCTATTCTTTTTAGTGCAGTAACGTCAGTGTTATTTAATTTCTTATGTTGATTTTCCAGGTTATGGGCTGCCAGTAGATATGTGGGCGACTGGAGTAATTGTCTACATACTGCTGTGTGGATTCCCTCCATTTCGTAGTTTGGAAAGAGATCAGGAAGAGCTGTTTGAAATTATTCAGCTGGGGGAGTATGAGTTCCTGTCCCCCTACTGGGACAACATCTCAGATGGTAAGGATAACAAAAAGAAAAAGAATACTTTAAGGAGGTGTTGACCCTTGAATATATTGTCATAAAGTACTGTACAATCCTTCACTCATTCAATGCTATTGTGACATTTTGAATCAAAAGTCCTTGTAAAACTATTATTTTTTAACAGTGAATACCAGGAAGGAATTATTTCATTTTTTCCATGTGAGTGCTATAGAGACTTAAGCTAAAGGCAGAACAGCATAACAAGTCTCTGGACTCATACATTGTTGGGTTCAGGTCCCTGCTGTAGATACTGCTCCAATGGGGAGTTACACACTCTCTGTTGAGAATCTTGGTACAGATTCTCAAAACTATTCATTAAATCTGCCTAACAATTTCTCTAACAGCTTTCCTCCTATATTATCCTCCTATATTTTCTCTACATTTCTGAGAGTTTGTCAAATTCTCTTTAGATACAGACTTAGATGACTCTGGATTCCAAAAAATCAGTTTTGAAAATTAGAAATAATTAACATTATTTGCATGACTTGCCAGATGTGAACAGCAGCCTATGTGATTTACCAATGACACTCACAAGGGTCCTATCTGTTGTGTGTCTATCATAGTTTCTTTGTTTAGGTATGCCTGTGAGAAATTGGAATGACAGGACTTCACTAACACCAATGTGACTCTTCTTAATACTTTTTAAAACAAGGGCAATCAGCCAACAGGAGGCCCTTAATAAAACTTTAATGCCACATATTAACTTATTTTTATTCAAACAGTATTCTGAGATAGAACATTTAGCTGAGAAACGGTGTACATTCACCTAATGTGTATTCCTCAAAGTGCCATGTTCACCGCAGGTGCCAAGGACCTGATCAGCAAGCTTTTGCTAGTGGATCCTGAGAAGAGGTATGCAGCCCAGCAGGCACTGCAGCATCCATGGGTGCAATCAGGGAGCAAGAACAGCTTCAACCTGCAGCGAGAAGTCACCACTAACATTGAACGTCACTTCAAGAACCGTCGCAAGCGGGAGCATGCCAGTGCTGCAGATCATTAGTATCTGATACTTATTTATTGTCATGCCTTTGTTCCCTATTATTTCTCTGTCCCAGAAATGGTGTATATAACAATGGGCGTTATTTCCTTAAGGAGGAGGGGCAGTATGGTGGAGCAGTGTTTAGCATTGTCCCTGGGTTAAATTCTGAACCTGGGGTACTAACAGTGTGGAATTTCTATGTTCTCCCCTTCACTTGGGTTTCCTCCAGGTGCTTTGGCCTCCTCACACAATCAAAAAGTAGGTGGTAGGTTAATTGATTTCTGTGTGTCTGTGTGTTCCCTACGGAACTGAGGACTGGGATTGTGTTCCATCCTGGGTGTATCCCACCTTGAGCCCGTTTCTTGTCAGGATAGGATGGGGATAGGACCACCCATGAATCTCTACTAGATAAAGTGGGAAAATGTATTGCTAGAGTTCCTAAAGTGTGGCACACTTTTGAATGCAGTAAGGACAAATGAACACTCATAGTTACTTGTGAATTGCCCTGAAAATAGTGAGCAGAAAATTACAGAAATAAAAAAGATTAATCTCCAGGTCATCTTCTAATTAAAATGTAAAATATAATTATTAAAAATATAATTTATTGAAAGGTTGTGGCCTAAATTAATTTCATACAGTTTTATGTGATGAGCTAAAAGGCTCCTGAGATATTCTGTTTGATATGCTTCTGTAAATATAAATGCATTTTTTTTGGATTTGCAAGAAACTTTTAAATTTGATAATGATAGTTATAACGGATGGCACATTGGTGCAGTGGTTAACATGACTGTCTTGCAGTGCTGGGGCCCTGGACTCAATTCCAGCCCTGGGGTCCTATTTATGTGGACTTTGCATGTTCTCTCTGCGATCACTTGGGTTTCCTCCAGGTGCTCCAGTTTTCTCCCACAGTACAAAAATACTGGTAGGTCAATTGGCATCTGGAAAACGTGGCCCTGGAGCGAATGGGTGTATATCTGTGTTTGTGTCTGTCTGCCCGCCCTCTGTGTTCTGTCCAGAGTGTACCCAGTTTCCACTACTGTGAATTGGAAGAAGCAGAAAGAAAATTGAAGGATAGTTATTACATAAGCCATAGCAAATATCAGGGCTGCTCTAATGAAACTTAACAAAATCAAATGCATATCATAAACGTATAGTGAATTACTTGATTCTTTTAAACTTAAGTATCATAACCTGTTGTAATGTTGAAAACCTTGGAAAGAGGCGTCAGGAGAGATCAATGTTGTTAATTTTTATTCTGACCATTCTCTAAATTCAATATATTTACCCCTTGTCAGACGTTGACGTCAGAGTGTGTGGAACTGTTCTATATATTTGTAAAGCCTTCACTATTTTCTAAATAAATGTAAGTGTTATTTTAGCATAATTTATTAGTGTAAGTGTAACCTTGGGATTTAGAGTTATTTAGGTGAAGATCTACAAGGACAACATAGTTATCGTGACGATCAAAATATATTGACCTACAGTACACAAAGTTTTCTCAGTGTTTTTAACATAATTTTAAATCACATGTAAAAGTAATTTTAAAAGATGGAAACTGGTTAAATACTGTAAAAAGTAAGTATTCTTACATTTCTGTAATACATAATAGGATGGTAAATCACAAACAGGCTGATTTTTGTAGCCTGGAACTGTACTGGAACTCTTACCAGTATATGGCCAGTATATTGTAGTGGGAGAGACCTGAAACAGTCCCAAGTGCTAAAGGAAAAAGGTGTGTATCAGTGTGTATCAGTGCACCCAAACAATGTATAGATTCCTCATTGTATAGAAACTGCAAAAAACAAATTCAATTCATGTCACTCATTTTAGGTGTTCATTGGATGAGTAAAATTATATTTTAATAAAAACTTATTTTAATAATGGCATGTAAAAAAGATTTAACATAAGGTATCTGACAGATTCAAAGTAATATACATTAACTATATAATATTTTGGAGTTGTGTTGCTGGTTTTGGTCTGAGGCTAATGTTTTTCTGTGCCAGTTCTCTGTTTTGGTGGGCTCATCTGAAGAATATGTAAAACAGTGGGAGTTCCAGTTATTCATGATGACGTGGCGATGAGACAGGATGGAAGAGGCAGGCTTTTTTTTTAGTTCATATACAATTCTTAAATGTGTAAAGCTTATGCAGGGTTGAGTACGGTGAAGTACTTGTAAATATTTTTTATCAGCTGTTTTGACAGTTTTAGTATAAAGAAATGACTTATTGTATCTTATACTCAGACTACTATATAATAAAGTATTAAATAATATTGATTGGTAGTTAATTCTGAATACTTGATCCTTTGTTCAGTTTAGTCTTATATGTGTTGTTCAAATTTACTTCTACCATATACAGTAGACTTACAGAGCAGATGCCACCACTTATAAACAAGCTTAGCCCTATACATTATTTTAATAATAATAATAATAACAACTAATAATTCCATAAACTCATATACTGTAGCTCTTTACAGGTAATGGGGACTACTCCACCACTAATGTGTAACTCCCACCTCCATACATCAGCTATCAGTGAAAAGGAGAATAGAGTGATGATGCCAATTCATAAATGGAGATTATTAGGAGGCCATGATTGGTAAAGGATGTTGTAACAGAAGAAATAAGGTTCTTGATCCCGAGATGAAGTAAAACAGATGAGTTTATTGCATGCAAGGAACAATAAAGCCGAAGTCTTGTTTCCCGCAAGAAACAACAAAACCGAAGTATTGTTCAACGTACTGTTACAAACTTTTGGATTATATAGTGTTTTCTTCTTCATTTCTGACGTCACTCAGTCTGATGGTAAAGAGGGGGGTTCATGGTATTTGGCCAGTTTACGATGTTCTGGACAAATGGTCAGTTTAACATTACACCCAGGGGTGTTCCTAGCTTGCATCTGCAATCCTTATCAGTTAACCCCCTTTCCTGCCATAAACCCCAGCTTGTGACTTAGAAGTCTAAACCCCCTACAGAAAGGATTAAATCCAAACCCCCGTCTTCACATCTTTCTTCAAGGACAATGGGAAATTTGTCCAAGACACTGGAATGTCTTGACTCCTACCGTTTTTGAGAAATGCCCTTGAATTTTTAATGGCCACAGTGAATCATGTCTCATCTAAAGGATGGTGCGTTTATACAGTATAGTGTCTCTATCACTATATTGGAGCATTAGGAGACACAGACAGCAGGATGAGCACTCTCTACTGGTCCCAGTAACACCTCTTCCAGCAGCAACCTTAGCTTTCCCAGGAGGTCTCCGTTATGCCAAGGCTTTGACAAATGAGTTTGACCTATGTGAAGCGAGCCCGTGAGGCGTAGTCTGAAAGAGCAAAATCCTGGGATCAAAAGGAGAGGTCAAAATCTGAGTAAAACGTCCAGGTAAAGTGTGCAGTGAGAGTTAAGCAAGCAAGCAGCCAACTGACTAGCCTGTGACTCAAAATACCAAACAAGAAGATGTGGGAACAAGGAGTTTAAATAGTGAAGAAAAGGGGACATGACTGGAAAATGATGTAATGAATGCAATTAATGTGGACAAGTGCATTGCGTGGCCGTAACAGTCTCCTAAACAGATACTGGCTAGGCTCACACTTCTTGAGCTTCAGTTGATCGCTATTTGTGAGTTGCAGGGTGATATACCAGCTGGCTATTTTGTTTACTTTATTTAGTTCTCCAGATAATTTTTATATTTTACACTTTGACACTGAGCAGGCATTTAATATAATTTAAAAAAAGGGTGCTGGCCAAACTAGAAAAAAAATACTTTAAAACAGACAATAATGTATAATTTGTATGACTTAAAAAAAGGAAATTGCTAAATCTAGTGTTTAGAGAATTACACAACATATGCTTACATATAGTGCCTTGCAAAATGTTTTGACTCTTTCACACTTTTCACATTTTGCTGCTTTAAAGCTTGCAGTAATTACACATTGAAGTAGTAATTAACACTTGTTACATATATAACCTGCTCCACACATTCCAAAAAAAATTAAACAGAAATCATTAATGAAAAATGGAAAAGAACTGATTGGATAAGCACAATTATTTGATTACACACAAGTAGTTGAGTGCCCTCTATCTGTGTACATCCTGGCAAGGAGGAAGCTTGTGAGGTATAGTAAAGTGAGGCCAACAACAACTTTGAAAGAGATCTAATGTTCAGTGATTCAGGTACATAAGTCAATAGTTACTCCACAAAGCTTTTATAGCAGAATGGAAAACCATACCACTTCATATTTGAATAGGAGTTTGCAATAAAGCACCTGAGTGATCCAGCAAAAAAAGGTTGTGGTCAGATAAGAACAAATAGGAACTTTATGGTCTAAATTCCAAGTGTTATGTAAGATGCAGAACCAGTACAGTACATCTCCCCAGTCAACACTGTCCCTACAATCAAAGTAAGCAAAGCACAAGAAATGCTAGAAAACTGCACTAAGCTACACTGCAGTGGCTTAAGAACACAAAAATGCATGTCCATGAGTGGCCCAAAGTCCTATGGAGAATCTGTGAAACGATTTGAAAACGGCTGTCTAAAAGCAATCCCCAAGCCACCGCCACTGTGCAAAGTTGTTTAGAGACATACCCACAAAGACATAAAGCTGTAAATTCTGCCAAAAAAACTTTCACCACAAACAGTAATGAGTTCACTGGGCTGAATATTCAACTTACAGTATATAAATGTCAACTTATTTATTTTGTTCTCTTTAGTTTTTCCTGACATTTACTGTAACTTATCCAACTTATTCAGGTTTTACATACAATAAGAACATAAGAAAGGTTACAAATGAGTGGAGGCCATCCAGCTCAATTAGTTTGTTTCGTAGTTATTAGTTAATTTATAGCACAGTGCATTAATGGTCTACCATTTGGTGGAATATATCATATTCTTAACATATTCCTTGGAGTGTTTTTTTAATGAATCTGATCCACGTAAAACTTAAGACTCCTTATTCCTCTAGTGTTCCTGAACTTGAATACTGTATATTGCTCTACACCACCCCCTCTTCCGTCTTTCCTGTTTTTCCAGAACAGAAAACTGTATATCCACAAATGTCATATTCATTCATCATTATCAGTTAGTCAGGTTTCTGTGATTCCAATAACATCATAATTGCCTGTTAATGTGGTAGTTTCTTTGTCATCTATTTTGTTTGTGATATTTCAAGTATTTAGGTATAGCACTTAACAACCTGATTATTTGTTTTGTTTTTCACTTTGGTTCTACCTTGGTCTTTTTAAAGAGTTTTCCATACAGAATACTTCTTCCTTGACTTCCCTTGTTCCTGTCACGGATGTTGGAAGGGGCATGCGGTGGAATGACTAGGGGAGCAGTAGAGACCCAATGTGTAGCGGTAAAAGGGGCAACACGGGGGTTAGCTCAGGCTCAGGGGGTCAGACGATGTCGATGGTATAGAAACCAATGCCCTCAGGCAATGGACGTGGGGCAACCTGGTAATAGGCAGGTCTCAAGACATCTGTACCCTCAATGCTGAGCCAGAAGCAGAGCAGACACAGGAAAGACATGAATAATCACGGGGAACTAGGAACAGGACAGAAGCAGAGCGCCCTCTAGGTCTAGGGCCTGACA